CGAGCTAAATCCACATGAAGCAAAATGGTCTCATAGATTTACACTTGCAAAAATCCATCTATCTGGGGACCAGCAAACCAACTAACTTCATCTTGGTAAGACATACTATTTGCCAAGAATCATTGAACGTAGTGAGAAACTTTACAGCTTGTAGCAAATTATAAATTTTTTTTTTGGCCAGATGCTCCACATCAATAAGCTAGTAAAAAATCAAAATCTGATAAAAAGAAACAGCAAAAATTCCAAACCGGCAACTGCTTCCAAGCATTCCTTTCAATTTCTTCGAATTAAAAAAAAAAAAAGTTACAACAAAAACCATGAAATATACCTCTATCTCACATCTAGGATAAACTTGTTGGAGAAAAGAAGAAACCAACTTTTTCCTGTGTTGATTTTCCATCCAATGCTCCTGGTAAATCCCTTATCCGCATCTGTTCTACAGTTTCAACCGTCAGTATCACATGATGCTGATATTATTCGTCCTCACATATCAGACACAGACCACAAGTAGGCCTCCCTCTCTGTAGCTTGTTTCTCATTCATTCTCTTAAACATTTGCTTCTCAAAACCTAGTAGATGCACAAGATCAAACAGATAATTAGTAGCAACATTGATAACGTAAATGAGTTTGGACAAAAGCATATTCATGGGGCCAATGTGCGAAACAACAGAAACCACATTATCGGTTATATCACTCTATAAAAGGTGGAAGTAAACTTACCATTGCTGCGATCAACGCCATCCCAGTGTCTCCCTGGTTTAATACCATAACGGTTTGGCGCAGCATCTAATCCTCTTCTTAGCCAGCTGTGACTGGGGATTTCCTGAGGAATGATGAAGCCTGATTCTTTCATCTTCTCATCATCACCTAAATCTTCCATAACTGGCTCAAACTGCCTTTTCTTGACCAAGTGTGCCATAGGATCACCCCATCTGACTCTTTCCTTGAGCATTCTGTCAAGTTCAGGGTCATCTCTTCTTCTTGCAAATGGTTTGTCTTTCTCGCCCTCTAATTCCTGCAGTCTTGCTTCAGCTTCTCGTTTCTGTGCCAATCCTTTACCCCATTCCAATTTGACTTCCTTGGGCTTCTCTTCCTTCTTTTGCGATTTTAAGAACTCATCTTTTGACATTCTCTTACCTGTTACTTTATCACGATAGACAGGTTCAGCACCTCGACCACTTATAGAAGGATCCATTTCTTTAAACCTCAACATATCCTCCTCCTTCTTCCTAGCGATTTCTTCTTTGAGGTCTTGCCCAGTAACTAGACCAGTTTTCACCTGCTGCTTTGAAGTGGGAGATTTCTCCTTCCTTTTCCTTGGAGGAGAAAGGTCTAAAGCGGAGGATGCTTGTGCAGCATCATTCTCATCCAAGTGCTGAGTGGCCCGTCGAGCAGAGAGATCACTTGATACAGATCTATCCTTCCTACCTTTCCTTGGGGGTGAAAGATCTGCCACTGGAGAGGTATGCAAATGATCTTGATGAAAGTGACGGGGAGGAGAGAGGTCAGAATCTGGATCTCCAGGGCTCGATGTTTCTTCCCTAGTCAATGGTGATGGAGACAGATGGCGTACCCTTTGCCGTCGTGGGGGTGAAAGATCCACAACTTCTCTTCGAGACTCTGAAGGTCCAAACCCAGATTTTGATGATGAAGTATCATATGAAGCCTTTCTCCTACGAGGAGGAGAAATATCCCTTTCATCCTTTTCTTTTAGGTAATGTTTCTGTCTTTGCCGAGGAGGTGAGAAATCTGCACCTGCTGCTCTTGATCTCCAATCAGGTTCTGGTGAAGGTGAATCATTTCGAGTTGTACGTGTCCGTTCTAGCAACGATTCAGCATCACCTGTGCCAGGAGGCCTTAGCATGGGTTCTGGAGAAGGTGTATCATTCCGAACTCTTCTTTTACGAGGTGGTGACAGATCAACATCTCGTCCGCTAGCTGACTTCAGATCATGTTCTGGAGATGGTGTGTCAGCCCTCCGCCTACGTGGTGGTGAGATATCCAAGACTTTGTCACCAAAGTTTGATGTTTTAGGAGCATCAGAGATTGAAACCCAACCACTTCCATCCTCAGATATGGAGCCAAAAGGACGTCTAGCTCTGAGTAGCTCCAATCTCTTCATTCGTTTGACTTCAATGTCCTCATCAACCACGGGCTTCTCTTCATCTGCACAGAACACCTTGCATTAATCACAACTTAAAAAATTGAAAAGTCTTAGAATGTACACTGTCAAAGGGCAGAACTTTGCTAACTTACCGGCTGAATCATTCTCCTCTTCTTCTTCAATTCTCACTGGTTTTTGCCATACGGGATCTTCATCAACAACAACTACACCAGTATCAACCTGTTTAGCCTTCTTCTTCTTCTTCTTTTTCTTTTTGTCCTCTTCCTCATTCCCATCTTGATATCTTTTCAAATATTCCTTCAGCGACGAGGATGCACCAGCCATTTATTATCCTGCTTCAGAAGATTCAAAACAATAATTCATCAATCACCAATTAAAAACTAAATGTGCTAATTTCTTAATAAACTAGGTTCTCATCCATCGCCAGTTGTAACGTTGATTAGCTTTCATCCTACTGCCAAATGTAAAATCTCCAACCAATATCCCAGCTCCCAAGTGAAAGCACTACCATAAAACACTAAAAAAAAAATTACCTACGCAATCTACAAAATGCTCATTTTGGATTAAGACAAAGGTAAAATACTAAATTCTTTGCAACTAGAAGTAGACAAGGATTCAACTTTTACATCAAAGACAAGGATTCAACTTTTACATCAAAGACCTAGTTTTCTTTCCTACCTCAAATTCACAATTGAAAACAACCCTACTGATCCATTGTATCATGGAGGTAAACCACATACAAAAAGAAAGACAACATGCACTAAGCAATGTCATTTAATCAACCAAAATATGATAAAAGCATTTAAAACCATTAGCCCTAATCCACTCCTGATTAGAACGAAACCCACAGATACGAGAACTTGCCCTAATTAAAGTTCATCTCCCAACCCCTCTTCTTTCTCTCTTGTAAGGAAGAAACTAAATTAAAGTTCATCTCCCAACCCCTTTTCTTTCTCTCTTGTAAGGAAGAAACTAACGATTTCAGAAATTTACCCAATATTTTATAAATTCCAGTACCAAATCTCTTGGTTTTTTGAATTATAGGAGGGTTTAAAAAAAACCTGGAAGATACGGCAGTTGCGGCTGCGGCGACGGCGGCCGGACCGGCGAGTGCAGCTGGGAAAACCAAACTGTAGCAGAGATGTTTAGAAAATATTCTTCCCTCTTTTTTTTTTTTTTGTGGTCTATATATATATAATATATTGGTTCCAAGCAAAACTAGTGGGCCCTCCGTCAAGACAATCGAGTTGATATTGGGCCGTTGACCCACGTCCGTATCAGATATTAATAATTCGGAATCCAACTGGTACTAAAAGGCCAGTCGGAAAAACAGATATTTTTAATGAACAATTGATAAAAAGTAATAAATGAAATATGGAAGTTATTAGTAGTAGTTATGATTTCAAAAAATATGAGTGTGGATTTTTCTTTTTCTTGGGTTTTTGATAAATATAAGAGTTGACAGTCATCTAATTTCTTTTTTAACACTCTACTGCTTTATCTGTAGAGAAATATTGGAAATACTAAAAGAGACTCATGCTTAGCATATTAGAAAGGACTCATACTTAATATATTAGAAAGAGACTCATACTAATACTAAACAGTATTGCTTTGTTTTTTTTTTTATAAATAATTGCCTAGAGAAGACTCATAATTTCCACAATAAAAAAAGAAAAGAAAAGAAAAGAGGAGACTCATAATTTCTTGTCCTCTATTATTGTGGACGAGGGATGAACTTGTTTTGTATGCTAGGATTCATATATTTCTAACTACGCTTTATAATTAAAAAGCTATGCAAGTTTCCACTTTCGAAGTGGCAATACACATATATTGGAAGAAAGATATTTCAGTGAAGAAATTGAAATCCAACAACTGGCATGACAGTATCTGGAAAATTGCAAAATTTTGCAATGTGGTACATTGGTGTGATGTTAACAAGCTAACGTCAAGATGTTGGACTTTGCAAAGCTATGGACACAATTAGAGAGGCCATTCGAGTTGAGGTAGAGTGGTGCACTACTCGAGTCTAGATTTCGGCTTGAGATAAAATAACTTGACTCGACCTCATCGATCTTTTAGAAGTTGAGTTCGAACTTGAATTCGACTTCAATTGTTCTTACTTGAATTCGAACTCGAGTTTGAATTTAATTAAATCTAATCGAATTAAATCAAACTCAATTGAGTCTAATCAAGTGTAATCGAGTTTATTGAGCTTATTCAAGTCTAATCAAGTTCATGCACTAAAAATTAATATTTCACTTATAATTTTAGATAAAGGATATTATTGACATTTCACGATAATAAATATAAAAATTTTAAAAAATATATTATAAAAAACTCGTTAGGCTCGCCAAGCTTTTGAGTATAAAATATTAGAGCTCGAGTTCGACTTGTGAGCTTGAAAGAATAGCTCGACCTCAGTCAAAACAAATTCGAGTTGAGTTGTTGACTGAGTAGCTTGCGAGATTAAATCAATCTACTTGGTTCAGCATCACCCTTACACACAATTTACTAAATACTTATTACAGGATGCTATGGGGAGTCGATATTTCTTGTATCTAAGAAGGAGGGGAACAAAAAAAAAATAAAAAAGGAAAAAGAGAAAAACGTGAATCATACATTGATGGACAAGTACCCAAAAAAAGAAAAGAAAAAGAAAAAGTAGTGATTCCATGAATTGCATTTTCCGGTAGCACATAATGTGCCAATGCATTGTTCATCTTAGAATTGAAGTAGTGGTACAAAAGGGTCCAAATGATGTTTGGTTTCAAGTACATTAGTAAGGAGATCAAGGTGTAAAGGACCCAATTTATTTATCCTTTAACATATTACTATCGCACCATGAATCTCCCATAATTTCAAGAATTACCCATATTATGGGTTGTAGTTATTATCCCACCAAAATTGTGACTGAAGTTTTTTGATGGCGTCGTTTCCAACCTGGAATGCTTTGGTAAGAACATCAGGAGAAATTGGAGGATCTGATCCGACTACAGCATTAGCAATGGTGATGACTCCTGGATTCTGGCTGCCAAAACCAGCAAAAGCAACAGCGTCGGTCTTTCCTTGGTTGAATTGGAAATGAATGAGGCCTTGCGGGAACACAAACACGTCTCCTGGATTCAAAACCTTGGTGAAGAGCTTATTCTTCATGTTCATGCCCGGATTTGAAGTGACGAAGCCAACAAGAAGAGTGCCCTCCAAAACAAAGAGGACCTCGGTAGCACGAGGGTGGGTGTGGGGAGGGTTCAAACCATAAGGCGCAAAATCGAGGCGTGCTAAGGAAACACCTAAAGTGTTGAGTCCTGGAATTTGGTTCACATTTACTTGTGTTACATTAGACCCGAGTGGATTTGCTGTGCTTCCTGGCTTGTTAAGCCCAGGAAAGAAGAAATCTTTGGGTTTCACAAGCTTTGGATCCTTGCATATCTTTCCATTGACAAATACTGCATTAGCCAAGTTCAATGAAGTTAGTCTGCATGTGACAAAATTAACTAGTGCATTCATTTTAAGCACAACATGCAACAGTATAATACTATCAAAGAAAGTCACGATGAAAGTTTTGGAAATAACAGAGTTACCGGTGGCATTGGCATCAGGAACTGCCACACAAAAATCCTGCAATGGACTCGGATCAGATGCACAGACAATTGTGAAAACAAGTGTCAAGATGACTGCGGCTATATGGAAGCGAAAAGCCATGGTTATCAAAAAGGAATTATCCTACTATGATGAAACAATGTTTCTAATCAGATGGTGGAAGAATATGTGGGAAATATGCCTAATTTATAGCCATGTAAGGTTGAACTAGTCATTCTGTTTTCTTCTCTTGAAGGATAAAAAATGCTCCTTGAGTTCTTTGTAAATTATTTCTGCACAATTCAACTAATGAATGATTCTACAACAACTACTAGCGACTTCTCAATTATCTTTTCCTCATGCAAGTATGGAGAGACTCATTTGGCCATCAAGTTATTGTGAGGATCCAAACGCGAAATAAACAACTATTGAAATATTAAGTACACAACAATTTAATGAGGAACAAGTCACAAGCATGAAAGATAGACGATACACAATATTTAACGTGGTTCGACTCCACCATTGAGCTTACATCCACGGAGAGAAACATGTTCTTTATTATGAGAGGAAAACCCTATACAAGAATACAACTTGAATCCAAACCCAACCCTTGTATCATCTCTCATCTCCCAAGAACCCTCTCTCACATCCCATGCATAAGGCTACATGATGCCCCTTGTGTCTCATTGTGTTTCTCTTTGTGTGTTATGCCAACCCACCTATTTATAGATAATATTATTGCCAAAAAACCAAATAACAATTGGAAACCAATATTATTTTTTAAACCCATATAGAGTAGGAAATAACATCTAGCTAAATAAGGCTTTACTTGACTACTATTTCAAGTAACTAAAATCAATTAGGAAACTAGCTAATTCCACACAAAATAAGAATTCTACCTAAAAGAAATTAAGCCAATTTCCTAACAAATCTCCACATTGACAAAAATTTCTTTTAGCAACCATTTGCCTTCAACTACCAAATAATATGGTACCAAACTACACACCCGAATTAATACAGTCCTGACACCAAATTGATTCAATCGGCAAATGAACATGTGTAGTTATCCCGAATCCAACCCCCAGTTGACTCGTGAGAAGGTGCCTCAATTCACCATCTTCCTTTACAGGATTTCTTCTCACCACCACTTGCAATTTGGGATCCCCTTCTGTGAGCTCTAACCCTAACTATTGAGGCAATCAAGTGGTAAAGTCACCATACTTCTTTCCATCATCAAGATTGTCTTGCCATGTGTGGTTTTCAAAACTGCACCTAAAACGAAAAACTCGTATCTGTCAGAGTCTTCTGGAGCATGAAAATTAGATTTTTTTTTGTTTTTTTGGGACACGTGCCACACCATCCAAAGAGTATAACTAAAATCTAAAATCCACCGAGATGAAGTATCAACCATTGGAGGTGTGAGAAAGTCTCCACCGATTCACGTCCAAAATCAAAATTAGACTTTACCTTTTCCTTGACTCTTGAATCACTTGCCTAGATTCACCGTCAAATATTTTTGTGCTTTTAGACTTCCCATCCTTCACCATTAATGCATTTTGCCAAACCATTGAAACAAGGATACTACTCATTAAATTGTTTAATTGGTAATAGCCACCAACCCACTTAATCTCAATAGTTAACTAGGATCCAACTACGAGCCTTGAGTAGCCCAGTCTCGCAACCAAACTCTGATACCACTTGTTAGGATCCAAGTGCGGAATAAACAACTATTGAAATATCAAGTACACAACAATTTAATGAGGAACAAGCCACAAGCATGAAAGATAGACGACACACAATATTTAACGTGGTTCGGCTCCACCATTGAGCCTACATCCAGGGAGAGAAACCTGTTCTTTATTATGAGAGGAAAATCTTTTACAAGAATACAACTTGAATTCAAACCCAACCCTTGTATACCATCTCTCACACCCCATGTATAAGGCTACATGATGCCCCTTGTATCTCCTAGTGTTTCTCTTTGTGTGTTATGCCAACCCACCTATTTATAGATAACATTATTGCCAAAAAACTAAATAACAATTAGAAACCAATACTATTTCTTAAACTCATATAGAGTAGGAAATCGCATTTAGCTAAATAGAGTTTTACTTGACTACTACTTCAAGTAACTAAAATCAATTAGAAAACTAGTTACTTCCACACAAAATAAGAATTCTACCTAAAAGAAATTAAGCCAATTTCCTAATAGTTATATTATATCAAGGCCATAAGATCATGTGAGACCATCCAAGTTTACCATATGTTGGGTGACGCCAGGAGTTTTGGTGCAGCTTGAAGAGATGGTGCCATTTGATATTTCTTTCTTCCAATGCTATTTGATATTTTAACTCCTAACCTTAGTGCAATGATGCATTAGTTACAACTAATCCGTTTAAAATTCACAGACTCGATCTAGGTTTCAGAGAGTAGCAGGAAAAAGTCAAATATATGAGAATCATCTGGGGATGTTGTATAGGATCTAATTCCATCTCTTTGTTATACAGTGCATTTGGCTTAAAAAATTCAAGTTTGAACATTTTGGCAAAAACCATGATAGGTAGTCATTTGTGTATATTTTAACTAGCTGGACTACTTCCTGCTTCCATCCCCCAATACGAATAGTGCAGAAAGCTCATGAGGAATGGTTGGAATATGGTGAAGCTAATCTCACTGCTTTAAAGAGGAGTACAAAAGAAACAGGAGACCAGCCGCAACCCCCCCAGCAACAAGAACAAACAGCAGGCATTATGAGATTAAGATTTGCTATCGAAAAGAGCAAAGACAGCCCCCAAATGGGGATTGGAGCAACTGTCTCTTTGGATAACCAACAACTGATGAGAGGATGGGCTCTACGGGAAAGATGTTCTGGCCATAAGCTAATTGATGAACTTACTGCAATTAAGCTACTGATTTGTAAAGCTGCTGTACAGAGTTTGGAGCGGTTAGAAGTTCAGGTCCAGGATAAGCAGACACTCCATCTTATCCAGCAGCCAAAATCTTCGGATATGCGAGTGGTCACACTGCTGGAGGATATACATAACCTTAAGTACCTGTTTCGTATGTGTTCCTTTTGCCTAGTTAACAGGGATATTAACCATATTACTCATAGGATTAGCGCTCATGCGCTAGATTTTTTTGTTGACCAGGAATTCTGGATTCATCAGTGATAGTTAGCACTGACTGTGTAGTTCCCTCAAGTTTTTACTTGAAATTGTAAAGGTTTTGTTCATCTATAAAATCACTTATCGTTTCGAAAAAAAAAAAAAAAAGACTACTTCCTGCTTCATGGTGATAATTGGTGATATTGACCTTTTCCTTTCCTGTTTCTTGCCTGCGTAGCGCATAGCACGTTTGTGGACTTTTTCTTTCTTTCTTTCTAGTTTTTAGGTTTTTCGAAATCAAACTAGGACTTGCATATATAGATTGGCAGTTATAACTTCTAAATCATATTGGAGTTGTTGAAATTTAAATTTTTTCTAGAAAGAGATTAGTTTAATTTTGCCATGTTTTATTTAAGCTATTTAATGTTGACGAAAATATGGACGTAATCCTTGATGAATTATCCTTTATTTTGCATGGAACCAATTTGAATTTACTAATTCATTTCAAAACCAAAATTTAACCAACGCAAGGATGCATGGAGTGCATATTTACCCAATCAAAATTCATAGTAGTGTTTGATATATTTGTTTACATTATTGAATCAAATAATTAAAGTTAAAATTATAAGTTATCTTGCTAATTTGTTATGATTTATTCATCTTGAACAGGCATTGTTTTAAAAAACATTTCTTGTAAAAATGTGCTAAAGAATTTATTTTAATGACTATTAGAGAATTCTCATACGTATCAAATATCCATCATAATATTTTCTAAACTTAGTTAATTTACATGATTAGGTAAATAATTCAAATGAAGAGCCAAAAGTTGTTAGAAGAGAAATAAAAATAAGGGATAATTTCAGAAACCTCCCTTGAGGTTTCTAATAATTTCACTTAGCTCCCCCAAATTTTAGAAAATTACAAAAATCTCCCTCGGTTCAATAAAATGACTACAATACCCTCTACTTAATAGATAATTTACCACATATGTGGGATATAAAAACCAAGCCAAAAGTAAAAGAAAATATAAAAACCTGTAACAACTCGGCATCATCCTCAACCCTACTTTAATTAACAACAGTTTCTTTTCTCTTTCCCTCCCTTTTGTTTTATCTCTTATGATTCTCTCTTTCCTACCTATAACCCCACAGTCTCTTCTACCCATCAACTATACCACCATGCAAACCTATCCGAAGTGTTTATTTTTTGTCTATTTTTTTTGTGGTACTTAACTATCAGTCCCCTTGTTTATTTCTTTTCGTATATAATTTGCATATATTAAAGAATCAAAATTTCCAAAATTACAAATTGAGGGAGCAAATGAAAATTTCATGGTCAAATTAGATGGAAATGATGAAGATGGTTGTGATAGAGAGGAAAAAAAATGAAATTAATGGGCTATGGTTAGAAGAGAAAAAGGGATGACTCTAGGTTATGTTATTATATCTATTACATACTCGAATCTAATATCTTCATTTAGTTTCATTTTTGTTTGATTTACAAGTATTGGTGGTGGTTTGTCATAAAGATTCGTTTCTCTGTTCATAACGCCATTGGAATATGGGGTTACTCTTGGCATAGACATCAATAATAGTTGGCCAAGTCTTCTGTTCAAGGCAGGTGATATGTGATAGGTGTTGGGTTCACAATTTGAGATGTGAGATTAGCCAATTGACAAAATATAGTGTTAATTTCGTGCGGGAAGCTTTTGAGGGCGTTTTAGTTGGTGGTGGTGGTTATGGTCTATTTGTAAAGTGATTCGGGTAGAGTTTGGAATTTTAATGATGCCAAAATTAATAGAATTTGGAGATTAAGTTGGAGTGCAATTTTGGTAAAATTGGGATTTTAGTGATACCAAAATTGATAGAATTTGGGAATTAAATTGGAGTTTGCTTGAACGGTTGATGAAGTTTTGGGTTTACAATTATCGTGGAAGCATAGCAAATTTGGATAAAAAGGTTTGTTACTTTTTTTTTTGGTTAAATTGATCAATAAACCTTTTTTTCACTTTCTTTTGAC